AACTGTGCCCGCGAGCTACCATTAGAGCGACTGAATTATGCATGGGTCGCACTAATAGATTGCTGGCCAAGACCACGAACATTCTGACCTGGCCCCGTTTCGCAGCTCCGCCGCAAAAGAGTTGAACAACACGAACTGCGACATATCTTAACTTATGTATGATGTTATTTATTTAAGTGGAGTGCCTTGCACTCGCCCGCCCTGACTTCTTCACTCAAACAGCTCATAAATAATGGTCCCTCTTTAAATATTACACAAATTGGAATTTGTTTTGATTCCAAATGCGTGTTTTCCAGCCCGAGCGTAATTACTATGAAAGTTACGTATTGGAGTAATCGCATACCAAATCTAAGTACTCTAGCGTAAATAGTCTCTGAGTTTCTGTAGGTAGTGCAGGGTAAATGGAGTGTTCTGCATGGCGGATAACATTAATTTATATAAAAACATTTATCATGAGCTCTCTCCCTCTTTCTCTCCCCCCCCCCCCTCTCTCTCTCTCGTAGTAATAATAATTCATTACTTATTAATATTAACTCATGTGCATAAAAAAAGTTCTCTGATTTCTTGTAATTTTCCCTTGTTTATTTTACTCATACAAATTGTTGCATATCGAATTTCTTCGACTTTGGCATAATGCACAAAGAACCGTTAATAATATCAAAGTATACCCTATGGGATGTTCGCATATAATTCATGCTAGTCTTCATTCGCCAACCCATTGACCAGGCCGGCTCTGTCCCGCCCCCTGCCCCTGCAGCCCTCTGTCCCTCGACCTTTTATTTCAATTTCATTTGAACGCATTTTTCGCATAAATTCCATAGAAAATAGCTCTATTCACTATTTATTACTGGGCATACTGTTATGTTAACCCCTCGGCGCACACACACACACACACATACGGAGAGAAAGAGAGAGAGAGAGAGAAAGTTTGCCCTCACCCCTGCCCTTTGATCGAACAATGAAAGGCCTCTAGCCTCGGGTCCAGTTTGCGTTGTTGTTGTTGCTTTTATCGCTCAATTCGAGACCCAGAAAGTTAATAATTCTATATCATTTTTATGTGCGTGTCCATGAGACTACACACACACTCACACACACACTTCTACATAAATATATTTATTATATATAAAGTAAAACTTTTGTGACAAAGAATTTGCTGGCCTCGTGGCAAAAAGTTGTGCCGTCTGCACATAAAATTATTAAATTGTGTGTTTCACATCTGTAAATTCTTCCATATTAGCAACTACCACGCCCACCATCCCTACCGTATACGGCAACGGCCTGGGCCAGTGCAAAAGTTTTCCTTTTTCGCAATAACCAAGGCGTGTCCTCGACTCGAGTCGCTCTGCTGCCGGAGCTTTGTCTGCGTCACAGGTGCAAATGTGCTGCAATTGTCTACATGAAATGGAGGGGGGAAGAGCGATTTACCAACTGAGAGAGGTGAAGGGGGAGGGGGAGGGGGATGGGGAGTGTGGTGTGTGATCAGGCAGTATGCACTGTCATTTGGCCAAGCACCCTGTCGGCGTTTTGACAATGAGCAGAAGTGCATGGCATATAGACACGATTAGCACAATGTACACTGAGCGAAAGCGGAGAGCAAAAGGCAGCTAATGTATTGATAAATATACTAAGGAAAGTACCCATTGATGGTAATTCAATATTGTGAACTAACATTTGCCCAGATTGCAGTTGCAGTTTTATAGTTTGATTGATGATTGATTGATTGAACAGTTTAAAGAGCGTGAGATAGATATAGAGTTTGTGCAGTTAGGTCAAGTGATTAGAGTAATCGTGAGCTTATGCTGTCTAAGAAGTAGTTCTGAAACTAGAGAAATAACTACTTGATTGATGAGTGATTGACGTAGTATGTACAGCTGTAAAGCCAAGAGCTAAATAGCTAAAAGTCTTAGGTTTCTATAATTAAATATAAAAAATCCTTAATCAGATATTTCATTGTTTTATTCTCTCCTCATACCAAAAACTATTAATTTTATATACAACACCTAGTAGCCATGCCAAGTTCCATATGCTTTTCGCTCAGTGTATGCACATACGACTCAAACTGCGGTTGAACCAGCGCCCTAACCTCAAAACGCGACTTTCCACCTACATAGGTGGGTCACCGAAAGCCGCTACACGGCGAGGACTTGACGGTGCTGCTGTCCGACTGACTGACTGATTGACTGATTGAACAATTGTGGGGTGCACAATTATGGCCAACACTGTCACGTCATTAAAAATGCAAACGGCTCGCAATGTCAGGGCTGCACTTGTGCAAGACGACTGCTCGTGGTGCGGGCAACGTCTGGACTGTGGACTGTGGACTGTGGACTGGGACTAGACTATATTGGTAGCATGTCAATGGCTAGGTTAGCCAACCAAGGCAGCCTGTCAGCATTGGCCCCTCGATGACGATAATGATGGCGCTGACAATGATGAGGCCAAGAAGGCAACGTCTGGACACAGACGGCCCCGCTGCCCCGCCAAGACGTCTGGCCACTGGCTGAAGGGCAGATGTGAAGACTGAGGGCCGGGGCTAGCCCAAAATCAATATTACTCGCTTTAAATTATGAACAATCAGGCGAATTGTCGTCCGGCTTTTCATTATTTGTGTGGAAAAGTTTGATGAAGAAAAATATTTGGAAACAATTGCGGGCAAACTTTTCCGGACATGCCGTCTCACAATACCCTGCAATAGTTGTAATCACTTATGTCACGAGAAGCACACATGAAAATGATGATGGATATATTGTATATATGTATATAAATATAGTTGGATATATATGTATGTAGATGTGTCTATAAATTGCTTTTTTCTTTCGTATTTCGATTGCTCAATGCGAACTAAGCAATTCGAGTTTGTGTTTTAGTTTATGACGACGGACCACAGTCATTGCTAATTGTTTTAACTATACATTAAATATATATATATGCATATCGTTGAATCAGGCCTCTACATCACTTAGTGGCAGTAGTCATACGCTAAATGGACCAATGTGAGCCTTGAATCACTCACGATTTATTTAGACTTTCTTTAACTAAGTATACTATATATAAATGTACAGTTAAAGCAATCCGTTATCATATATGTATGTAGATAGAATATGTATCACACACACACTCTCATCTCAGATGTATAAAGCCATTTATAATACTCATCTTATGTCTTAGGGAAAGAATATTTTCTACATTTTCTATTTAAATTTTGAACTTTCTTCAGCTTCTTCATCCTCAAGTCAATGTCAAATTTCATTCACTTACAATTATACTCTGCATTTTGTATACCTCAACAGCTCGAAGTTCGGCAATTGATTGAGAAACTGGCGAGGTGGGCGAGGTGGGCGAGGTTGCATGTTGCACGTGGCCGTTTAATATGTTGGAATAATCATTTCCGTATTGCCTTCGATTTCAATTTTTGATTTTTTGATTGCTGCACTAAGCCGGTCGACTAATAGAGGTGGCCCAGGGCCCAGAGTCGGGGCTGGAGATGGGTGCAGGAGAGTGCGTGTCTGAGACCAGCTGACCAATGGCAAAAATCAATGCGCATTATGAATAACGCCTCCACACAGCACACACAAACACGCACACACACACACACACACGCGCATAAAGAAATGAATGTAATATAATGCAATGTAAAGCCAACCACATAGCGTATGCGCAATATTCACAATTTAAATGTATCATTTGTGCTATAATTAATTGGACAGAATTGCACAAAAAATCCCAAAAGGACATCCAATTAAGGCCAAAACCACAAATAAACCACAAAAAAGTGGTGTATATAAATAAAAAAAATAATGAAATATTCATACACGTATAGAAAAAGTCGAAAATATGGAGGTAAAAGGTAATAACAAATCATTTCAACTGTGAAAACTGATTAAATGATGGGGGAATCGAAAAGAGAGAGAGAGAGAGAGCGAGAGAGAGAGGGAGAGAGAGAGATGGCGATATATAAGTAGGCATGTTGATAGAGAAGACATAAAGGCAGAGAAAGTGAGTGGGCGGAGACAGGGAGTAGAAGCAGAAGAAAGAAAAGAAGAGTCACTTGTAGCATTAAAGAAATGGAGATATATATAGGGACAGACAGAGAGAGAGAGAAGAAGTGAGAAAGAAACAAAGAGAAAATGTAGAAAGAGATAAAAGTGGAGATAGATAGATAGATGGAATATAACTAGAACCAAAAACATGAAAAATAGAGGGAGAGAGAGAAAGAGAAATAGAGAAAGGATCGCATGGCTTATAAGATCAAACGAAGATGTGGGACATTAATTAAAAGAGAATGAAAGAAAATTATAGGCAAAAAGTGACAAGAGAGAAGTGAGCAAGAGGGAGAGAAAGAGAAAAAGAGAGAGAGAGAGAAACACTTCACATATGCCAAAGTAGCTCTAACAAAATGTTTTGTAGTCAATAGCGAAAGTGTGAAGAAATGCAGTGGATGATAAGTGAAAAAGGAGAGCGAAACGGTTTATGAACAATTCATGAACAACATAAAATTCCAATTGAAAAAGTGAGTTAACAAAAACTTTGAATAGAACTCAAATATCATCGCATCAACGGAATTTTGTTGCTTTTGAGGCTTTGAGCCAAATTGGCGAAAACTTGGCCAAGCGGAAATACGCAATGCAGGTGACCTCTGACCCCTGACGAAGGCGAACAGCTTCAGCTGTTGTTGTTGTTGCTTTTGTTGTTGCTGTTGCTGTTGCCTTCCATTTGTTTGCTTTGACTAATTAAGAAAGCCCACAAGAATCAGCGAGGGGTGTGGCAGAGCCTTTAATAAACTGAAAATGGGAAATTGAAAATGGAAGATGGAAAATTGAAATCTCATATTTTATATATTAAATTTGCTCTGTTTATTTAGTTAATTAATAAATTCGTCTCGATTTTCGATACATAATTAAAATTCAATTTTATTTTTTGGGATAGGCCGAAAAAAAAAAAATGGTATTAAATTACATTTTTGTCTTAGAGCTAGGCACAAAAAAATTGTTATAGGCATATTTAAGAGTAGATATTTTTGTTTGCTAGGCAATTGTCGTTAATTATTTACACAGAGATATACGTATATACAGGATTGTAATTGACTGCTTGATTGGGAGCTGGTTCGTTTGATGGACAACTATTTTCAAAATGTTGCGCTGATCGACTGAGCTATTGCTTGCTTTTGTGATTGTCTAACTGTTGAACAGTTGCGGTTGATTGACTGCTTGGTTGATCGACTGACTGACAACCTGTTGCCAGCGGCCAGCAATCGATCAATGGAATGGCGTCTGTGCGTGTGTGTGTGTGTGTGAACAACTGCAACGGCTCCGTACCAGGCGGAGCCCGTCCAGTTGTCCTGCTCACAGATCGGTGCTGATGGTGTGTGTCTGAAACTGTATCGGCTGCATGGGATAGCCGTCCTCGGAGACAGACGCTTCCGTATCCACCTTGAAGCGCTTGGCCGCACTCTCCATCTCGCCCTCGAGATCGGTGAAGGCGGGAAAGTCGACGGGACAGAAGTGGCCGGCAATCGCCTCCGGTATGTGGCTGACATTGTGCAGCATGTGGGCCGGCGTGCTCTGCAAATAGTTGCGCCACTTGTGGTAGGAGCGCGAATTGAGCTCGATGGTGACATCGCGTCGCTGGCAGACGGGCGACGAGGTCTTCGGCATGATGCGCTGTGCGTGCTGCATCATGTACATCTCCCATTCCAGGTTGCCCACGTCCGGCGACAGATCCAGACGGGTGGAGCTCGCGCTGCTCCGATTGGCCAGCTCCATATCCTGGGTGCGGCGCAGCTGGTGCTTGGTGGGCGTCGATGCTGCACTGCTGCACGTATGATAGCCGCAGGAGCGCTCCATCTCCTGCTCCACCTCGGCCAGCGGCCGCTCGGCAAAGTCATCGCAAATGGGCCGCGATTGGCTGCGGCTCCAGATGCTGCGATTGCTGCCGCCGAGTCCGCTGCTGTCGCAACTGTTGCTGTTGCACTTGTTGTTGGTGTTGCTGCTGCTGTTGTTGTTGTTGGTATTGTTGGTGTTGTTGTTGCTGCTTTTGTTGCTCTTGTTGGTGGAGCTGCCGCTGCGATTACGCTTGGTGGCATTACCGCTGGCATCCAAACTGCGCTCCGCATCCTCCTTCAGACTGCTCGTACAGCAACCCATTTTCGCTTGATTCGAGTTTGTAATTTATCTTGGAGACTGCACTGCCAAATAGTAGTTCGCGCTACGCTGCGTTAACGTCAACTGCTTGGCCAACTAGCGCGACAGCTGGCCTTTATATAGCCAGCATGCCGAGCATGATTCAGTGCAGGTAGCGATCGGCTCTTTGCGAATTTCCCGGAATTGTTTTTGCTCGAAGATGATTTACCTGATCGATCGATCGTACGTTCGATCGCAGTTGGGCCGTAGTTTTGGCTAATCCGCCGGTTTTTATGGCGCGGCCCGAAATCGCGGCCCGCGTGTTTCGGCTTAAGATAATATACATGCGCTCTACCTGCTCAATGTCCTTGATTGTCCTTGTTGCAGGGATTTCGCTTGATGGATTTTCAATTTCGTAAATCTTCTGGACTTTTCATAAACTCGCGAAAAACGCAGCACATGCGGCCAACCCTTTTCTCGCAATCGCCCAAACACTTTTACACAATTTATCCAGTCAGAAATCAAAGCAATTAGATAGATATACATACATGCATACATATTCAGATAGATAGTTGGAAAGGGAGAAAGGGAGAAAGTGAGAGCGACTCTGGCTGCAGCTGGCCTCGTGCTGCGACCATAATTCGATTTGAATGCTGGGCCGGCGCTGCGACTGCGCCTAACCTTGGCCCATTGCGTTTTGTGGGCCTTTGTTGTGCAAACGCCGTTGACGCCGGTGCAGCCAGGACAATGGGAGGCGCAGACAGAGAGCTGGACAACAGAAGTGCACAACAGCTGCGACTGCGAGTCGATCTGCATTTTATTGAGAGTTGAGAGAGTTTTCGCTTTCCGTGAAATCTTGTGAATGGAGTCTTTCCTCCTGGCCAGAACTACTTATGACTGAGCCGACTCCTGCTGCTGCTGCTGCTGCTGCCGCTGCCGCTGCAAGCCTCAAGGCTGCCCAAAGTAAATCGAAAGCAAATGCATCCCAGACACTTGCCAGCCACGAAGGGTGATCAAATGTTGGCTAAAAACACTCGACCTGTTCGTTGGCCTCATTGACAGGAGCAAATCGTACCTACGTGACTTTCTCGAATATTCCAAAAAATTTCCATAGCTCTTTGACGCATTCAATTAACTCTCGTCACCAGAAAGCAAAATCACTCAAAGTGCAACAGATTTGACTTAACAATTATCCAATTTAAGCCCAATTCTAGATCACATGCATTTTGTATTAGTCAGCGAAAAGCTATTACCAAAAGCCGGACCCCAAAAGCATTAAGAACAAATGTATCACTTACTTACTGTATGTAATCATAGTTAAGCATATGATGATTAAGTGGAAATAAATCATCTACAAGAGATTTAACAGGACAGTACAGTCAGTCAGTATATCATCAGATATAGATATAGATATAGATATAGATATAGATATAGATATAGATATAGAT